AATTAATTTAGTTTATTTAATTATTCGTTATTTGTTTTTAATTTTTAGTTTTATTTTATTTATTTTTTATTTTCGTTGATATCATGTCACTTGTCGGGAAGGTTTTTGTTGTTGTTTTTGCAGGAATTTGTGATCATACGCATTGCTTGGTTTTACTTTTTGCATGGGTTTCGAGATTGCAAGCGATTAGGGAATTCTTGACTTGTTTAGTCTACTACTTTGGTGATTTGTCTGACTCAATCCATGATGCGTAGTATAGCAAGGCGTATCGTGGTGGTTAAGTGGAAGACCGAGCTCTTGCTGTTCTTGACTAGTTTGGTCAACTCTTGTTCTACTTATTAGTTAATGGTGCAAAGAAAACAAAGGAAATAGTCTGACAGGTCCCGAAAGTTTTTGTTTTCACAAACCACCTCTTGCATGCAAGGGATTTAATCAACAATTGTAGCTTGATTTCGACGAAGACGAGTGATCGTGATATCCTTTTTAGTTATTTTGGTTTGCTATTTTTTTAGTTATTTTAGTGAGTTTTTATTTTTATTTTTATTTTTAGTTTGTTAAAATTTTTGTTTTCCATGTTGATACTCTTGATGTTTCAGATCTTTGCAGAAATTTTACCCTTCGGACACTTCCAGAAATTTCAACAATTGGGGTCTAATGCTGATTTGTCATGCGAAAAAAGCCGTGAGAGAGTTTGAAGTTCACAATTGAGAGCCATGACTTTCAATAAGTGTGGGGTGCGTGCCGATATGGTGAGAGTATCTTATTTAGAAGAGTGGCGTTTCTATTATATTTTGACTCCTATGGTATGGATGAGCTGTTCCCACACCATAGAGTTTTATTTCGACGCGAGGTAGAAGTATTATCCCGGCTGCCACGATATGGTTGACACTTTCCTATGTCGTGGGGGGGTTTTTCATCGCGAGAGGAGGCTACCATTTTTGATATGACGACGTGACCAACAATTTTCACATGTGGCCATGTTTAGATTTCACATCATTCGACGAGACGACGTGGTCGACACTTTCCCATGTCATGGTTTTTACATATTGCATTTATTTGCAATCTTTTTCACCACATTTTAGAAGTTGGCATTCTTGATTTCATTTTTCCGGCACATTCAGAAGCAGCTGTTCCAGTTTCCAGTCCTCCAGCAATTTATGGAGCAACTTTTAGCAGCCCCATTCGATCTCGCCACAACTACCCCAGGAGAGTCTGTTCCTTTTTCTCCCTTTTTATTATTTTTATTTGCTTAATTAGTTTTAGCATACAATGAGGGCATTGTATGATATAAGTGTGGGGTAGGAGGTCGAAAAAGTAATTTAGTTGCTAGATTGGGAAAATTTAAAATTTAAAAAATTATAAACTTGAAAAATAGTTTAATTTAGGAAAATCTAGTGATAATTTAAAATTTTGTTAATATTATATGGGATGATCCGATGAGAACTCAAATGTTTAGTTGAGCCTATATACGTTATAGTGCATTTGTGGCCCCCTTTATTCTAGTGAAATCATGGGACAAAAACACAACTTCGCTTAGTTTGAGGAATGCAATATGTTTAGCAGCCTGTATTTGAAATGTATCCAGGAAAACTAATACCTTAACCAATAAGGGTTGAAGTAAAGCGCCCCTGCTTAAGCATGTAGGGCTTTGAGTGCAAAAAAAGAAAAAAAAAGAGTGAGTACATGTAAAAAAAAGAGAGAAATTACTAAAAAGTGAAAAAAAATTGAAGAATTTTTGGAGCTATAGAAGTATCAAAGTTTGAAGATCAAAGATCAAAAATTCTGAAGTATCAAAAGTTGAAGATACCAAAAATTACACAAAGATGGTGAATTCAAAGAAATTGAAGATCAATTATCAAAGAAGTGACGAATTCAAGAGCTCCATATTGTGGTATCTAAAAAAGTTGTAATTCTCTAGTTTATGTATGCTTGGGTAGCTTTACAAAAATACCTTGAGGTTAGAGAGTTTTCTGAGGATGGATTCAGAGGGTTGCATAAAATGAGCATTGTTCAAAAGAAGTGGGTGAGTGTTTTATGAGGATTGTGAGTATTTAGAATTGAGGGGGGTCCTTAGGAAAAATTTTAGACACAAATGCATGCGTTGCGGTCTTGGCATAATGGCTGGGTTTAAAATGGATTGTTTTATACGATATTGGTAAATTAAAAGTAAGTTTGCTTGGGGGCAAGCAAAGGCTAAGTGTGGGGTATTTTGATATGTGTATTTTTATACATTATATCTTAATATTTTAGCCTTTATTATTCTTATTTAGAACTAAAAGGTACTCATAATACTTTGAATTGTAATTTACAGCTAATATATGTTGTTGGAACGGATATGGAGAAAAGGGCTGGAAAACGGAGTTGGACTAGAAAAGAGAAGAATTGGGCTGAAGGTGGACCGTACGCCCTGCGTTCCCATAATGAACGCGCTGCGTTCGTGCCTTGTAGATTACGGGATAGCTTGGAGGAATGCGCTGCGTTCCTTGGACCTACGCGCTGTGTTCGCTTGGCGGTGTAAAGTTGCTATATATTGACATTTAATTCGTTCTAAGAGGGGATTCCGACTTCTAACCTATTTTAGTCGACAAGAAAACTTCATAACTGCCGTTTTGAGGGTCTAGAAGGCGGTCGGAAGGCCGTTAAGCTGACAGGAGCGAAGATCTGAAGGATTAGAGAGCGGATTTGTGTCGGCAATCATGTGGTTTGTTATCGTGACCATGTTTAGCATTCCACTGTGATACTATTATGTTTTTACTTTCTGATTTTGGTGTCAAAACCATTTGCTTTGAGTTTATGATTAGATGAAACCTTGATTATTGGATTAGTTGCTATATTTGATTGTTTTATTCATGTTTAATTTATCTTGTTAAGCTTGTTAAAAGATCCTTATGTGTTAATGACAATTATTTTCTGTTAATTATTAAGTATATTGAGTTGTATGAATATCTGCTTGATTGCTTGCATTTTATAATCTTGATGACCATCAAGATTATATGTCTAGGAATAGCGAACATGAAACTAGGGTTAACTAGGAAAATAAGTAAATTAATGTGTGAGCATATGTGATGACCAACCACATATAAGTTGATTGAATTGACAAATTTAATTAACTATTATTATAAGTCTTGCTTGATACGAACTGAATACTAGGAAACATGTTAGTTTAATCAATTGATCACTGCTTGAATTGACTTGTTTGCTAAAGGATTAGTAATAGTGAACATGAACCTAATCATTTTAGAAATCGGTAAACATGAATAAATAAATATGTGTGTGCAATTGTCTATGATTTTAAGGTGTAATTTGTCTAAACCAAAGTACCTAAAGAGATTTGTCTTCCTGTCAGTCTATCGAGATTTGCTGTTTAGTTATTCGTTTGAGATTTAATAATACATTTCTTTATTCCTTTCGTGTGCTTTGTAACCTATAATCAAATATTTTAAATTAATTCACTATCGTTCCCCTTGTGTTCGACACCCTTGCTTATCAAAGCTATACTATACTTGATCGGGTTCATTGCCTATAAGGTGTCGTTTAGATGCGATAAATTAGGAATTATAAATAAAAAAACTAGTGCATTAAATATTCACATCAGCATGTAACCACATCAGATTTTTTTACGTCACATCATATTTTTTTTGAAGCCACATAAGTTGGGAGTGTGTTAGCATCCAAAATGTAAAAAGGTAGGGAGTGGTAGTTTGTTAGTTTAATGAGTTTTATTTTAGAAAAAGAAATTAAAAAAAAATATAAACTTGGATCAGCCAATAAGAACACAGTATTCATGTTTCTCTCTCTTCTCTCCTGTTGTTAAGCCCATAGCGAGCCTTCCTTTAGCATTTCCTTGACATTTTGAAGGGGGTGGTGTTTAGCACCTTTACCATTTCCTTGGCGGGAGTCTTAGCATGCTCACTCCCTTCAGCCTTATGTTTTTAAGCAAAAAGCTAAGTCTTGAATGTAGTTATTGTGTGTGTTTCATTAGCCTTGAGTTATTGCAAAAGCTACTATCATAATATCACATCATAAACATCTTTCATCAATGTTGGTTTATCGTCACCTATCTCATGTTATGTCATGATATGGAGCCTAAAAGCACATAATGAGAAAAAAAAGTTTTAGACATGCATATCTTTGATTATCTATTGTTTTTAAAAGGGTTTAGACTGCAAGGTATGGTAAATATATTATGGACGGACGGTAATTTGATTTGTCAACTTTTACTGGTGATAACCCCACCCATCACCTTTATTTTTGCCTGTGGTATTAAGCCGCCGGTATACTACCCCCGTGGTAAATAAAAGTTTTGTTTCCATTGTGGCTGTTGATTGGTTGCTTGCAAACATTTATTTATTTTTTATTTTTTTAAATTCATAGGTAAAAAATTTACCACATCCCTATCATAGGTAAAAATTGTTAAGAAAGAGGAATGCTTACATGGTGGTGTTTATGTGACACATCTTTTTTGATAGGTAAAAACTTTATCACACTCTTTAGCCTTAGTAATAAAGTATATTTTAAAAAAATATATTGTCCTCAAAAGAGTATTATTACAACATGTAAGTAATTGGAACTTTTTTTCTTTCACAAATACTCTTATTATACTTATTTATGACATTCAATTTAAGTATTTTCTAATACATGTTTATCTAAAAAATAATATTAATTCGTTATATACCTATATATCATATTAACTTAAAAAAAAAACAAATGTATTTTATATGAAAAATGAAAATATTAAGAAAATACAAAGTAGTACTCAAGAATTGGACCTAATCCAACAATAAAGTAGCTTGAAAAAAAACATCTGAAATTGGTTGAATATGTGATGGCATGAAACCACAAAATTTGATCTTTCTTCGTTTTCTTATTTTCCTCATGTAAAGTTTTAATATTTATCAAAAACATGTCTCTTTAATTCCAAGATACCTTTACACATTACATAGAAAATATTTTACGTTATTTCATATTTCCATTATTATCTCATGTTTTTAGTTATTATAGGTGATTCTGCCACGTTTTGGAATCTCCGACCTCGAATAGTGTAGCCGTGGATAATAGCGTGTGGGTTTCCATCCCGTCTCTGCCAACTAATTTCTTGGAGTCTCCCCACTCACCGATAACTTAAAATCTTGGTGTTTGTTTATCCACTTCAACAATCTCTACTCATCTAATCTAATCTCGATCTCGATCCTTCAAAATGGGAAAGGAATCCACGACACCAGCACTGGATATATCGGAACCATTGCTCCACCACGAATCATCCAATTCCACTACAGAAACAGAAACAGAAACCATACCAGAATGGAAAGATCAAATCACTTTGAGGGGTTTAGTCGTGAGTGCTTTGTTGGGGACGCTTTTTTGCATCATTACGCACAAGCTCAATCTCACTGTCGGAATCATCCCTTCCTTAAACGTCGCTGCTGGCTTACTCGGTTTTTTCTTCGTCAAATCATGGACTACTTTTCTAGAAAATTTCGGATTCTCTGTTCGCCCTTTCACCCGGCAAGAGAACACCGTCATTCAGACTTGCGTTGTTGCTTGCTATGGCCTCGCTTTTAGCGGTAATTTTCTCTATCCTCTTCAATCGCAAGCAAATCCCCTTTCCAAAGCTTATTTGTAATTATCTGCAGGTGGATTTGGATCCTATTTGCTGTCTATGGACGAGAGAACATACAACTTAATAGGTTCGGATTACCCTGGTAATCGGGCTGAAGACGTTAAGAATCCAGGATTGTTGTGGATGACTGGCTTTCTTTTTGTTGTCAGTTTTCTCGGCCTTTTCAGTCTTGTTCCTCTTCGTAAGGTAATAACTATATGCTGTTTGCCTCATTTTTTTTAAGGTTGTTATTCACTACACTCCATTTATGTGTGATTTTAGGTTATGGTTATGGATTATAAGCTTACATACCCAAGTGGAACTGCCACTGCCATGTTAATCAACAGTTTCCACACGACTACTGGTGCTGACCTTGCAAGGTAACCAACCAACCAATTTCTCAAACTGTTGATGTTTATTTTATTTCTTTGTTTTTTTATTACAGGAAACAGGTAAGCTGTCTTGGAAAGTATCTAAGCATAAGCTTTGTCTGGAGTTGCTTTAAATGGTTCTTTGGTGGTATTGGTGATTCATGTGGATTTGATAATTTTCCAAGTCTTGGGTTGACACTGTTCAAGAATACGTAAGCTTCTTCTTTTTGCTTTTTATGATCCTTAAGCATTACAAGTATGAACTTGAGACTTGCTATGTTTAATTATATGCAGGTTTTACTTTGACTTCAGTCCTACTTATATTGGATGTGGTCTTATTTGCCCACACATAGTCAACTGCTCTGTTCTGTTTGGCGCCATTGTATCCTGGGGCTTTCTTTGGCCCTACATTTCCACTCGTGCAGGTGACTGGTATCCAGCTGATCTAGACAGCAATGACTTCAAAGGTCTCTATGGATACAAGGTATACAATATACATAACATAGGTTCTTTTTTTTTTTTTTTTTTTTTTTTTTTTTAAATTAATTGGTGAAAAATAAAGTAGTAAAGTAGGTTGCTATTTCCTGCAATGTGCATTTAACAGAGAGAGTTATGAGGCTTGACTCATTTTGTTCTAGCAATGTTAATATTATTTGTACCAGGTGTTCATAGCTATTTCCCTTATTCTTGGGGATGGGCTTTACAATTTGGTGAAGATAATATTGATCTCCATTAACACTGTGTGGAACAACACTACCAAAACCAAACAAGATCTCCCTGTGAATGTAAGAAAAGAGTTACCAGGTAGGTAAAATTTAACTTGTAGTTGATGTTATATAACATAACAATATGCCTGCCTGATTTGATTTGATTTCTCTCCTCCTATAATATATAGAGTCTGAGACATCCAAGTCACAACTAGAGCAACAGAAGAGGGATGAAGTTTTTCTGAAAGACGGAATACCAACATGGTTTGCAGGGTGTGGGTATGTAGGGTTGGCTGCAATATCAACAGCTACAATGCCGCTTATATTCCCGCCCCTCAAATGGTACCTGGTGCTGTGTTCATACATAATCGCCCCTGCCCTAGCTTTCTGCAACTCCTATGGAACAGGTCTCACAGACTGGAGTTTAGCTTCAACGTACGGAAAAATCGGTCTCTTCATCATCTCTTCGTTAGTCGGAAGCAATGGAGGGGTATTAGCAGGGTTAGCAGCATGCGGTGTTATGATGTCGATCGTCTCAACCGCCGCCGATCTGATGCAGGATTTCAAAACCGGTTACCTGACATTCTCCTCAGCCAAATCCATGTTCGTGAGTCAACTAGTCGGAACCGCCATGGGGTGCATCATTGCACCGCTCACATTCTGGATGTTTTGGACCGCCTTTGAGATTGGGACACCGGATAGTCCGTACAAGGCACCGTATGCGGTTATATACAGGGAGATGGCGATTCTCGGAGTCGAGGGTTTCTCTCAGCTTCCGAATCATTGTTTGGCGTTATGTTGTGGGTTCTTTGTGGCGGCGTTGGTTTTGAACGTGCTACGGGACTGGGCTCCTTCGAAGATCTCCCGGTTTATTCCTATTCCGATGGCGATGGCGGTGCCGTTTTATATCGGAGCTTATTTTGCAATCGACATGTTTGTTGGGACTGTGATTCTGTTTGTGTGGGAGCGATTGAATAAAAAAGAGTCGGAAGATTATGCAGGAGCGGTTGCTTCGGGGTTGATCTGTGGGGATGGGATATGGACGATACCATCCGCAATACTCTCCATTTTCAGGATCGATCCGCCCATCTGCATGTACTTTGGGCCTTCCGTTACCGGTTGAGTCAGCAGCACCCACCAGGTAGCCAAACTGTTTACTAGTATTACTTTAGACTAGAAAAGAAACAGCATTTTAGATATGGAGTTTTGTACAAAAATAAAAGAAATCAATTAGACAGCCTCCCTACTGCTCTTTTTTCTCGTATTTGTCGCCGGAAAATGATAACCAACAAGATAATTTCAAAACATTAAAAAAGATTTCTCATTTGTTTGTTTGCTCGCTAGAAAATGAAAACAAACATAAACTGCCAGCAAATGAAAACAACCAAACACGATTTGAATATATTGACAGATTCTTCCTACCGTGAGTTTGGTTTGCTCATTGGAATATGAATACAACCAGACAATTTGGAAATCGAAAAGGAAATTGTTGGAAATGCACAATCGTTCATAGATCATGTGCCAAACATTTCTCGTATATATTTGTTTCAAACATTGGTCGTTCAATCAGTGTCTTATAACTTGGAAATTTGGAGGGGGAGGGGTTGTTTAACAGACGATTACCGAGGGTTATGAATGGGTTCGTCGGTGGCACGGCGGATGTAGAGGTTCATCCACAGTGTTGTTTGGGGAGGAGAAGTTCAACAATGTTTTGAAGTTGACGATGTCACTGCACAACACAACAGGTAGACTAGGTGTTACTGGCAATGCTTGTTACGAAAAAAACTAAAAACCAGTAGACTTCAATCGTTGAAGCTTGGCAAAGGTGGCTGTGGTAGGTTCCATAGGTGTATGCGCACTCAGGCCCAGTGGGGGTTTGCAGTGGTGCTAAGGGTTGCCAAATGGTTTTGCAAGTAATGTGAACGCGAAAAGACAATTAACATGATTTCTTTTATTTTATTTAAAAAAAATTAAAAAAATAAACGTACAATTAAATGGGAAATAATTTTAAAAGTACTATATTATAGTAAATATTTTTCGTAATGGTTACCTTTTAGTAAAAAACTCTTTAGATATGATATCCATGTTTGTGAATTGTGATGTAATAGTTTGTATGAATTCATATAACAAAAATGCCAAAGTACTGATAATTCTGCTAATTTGTTTTCATTCTAATTTATTTCAATATAAGAATTTGGGAAAATAGGCCTACAATGTTTCCATAATTGGTCTAATTACTCGCTAAACATTTTTTTTTGTTGCTTTACGGAGGGCATAAGGTAGGAATTGACCTGCCATTTTAGTCACCAAAACCTAAATTAACCGGTTTAATTTGCCACATGTGCAAATGTAGCCACATAAGCAGTGACGTGGAATGTGTAAGGAAGAAATAGTTTCATATAACTCATTGATCTTCCCAACTTCCTTGCACACTCGATCTCTTTATCTTTATGTGCGAGGAAGAAACGATATTCCAAACTTCATAAGCAGTGGCAGTGGAATTTGTAAGGAAGAAACGATTTCTTATACTCAAACATTCATTATTTTGCGCTTAATAATTCTTTTTTAATTATTTACATTATTAATTTATTCAAAAACTTGTTTAATAAAATACTTTCCTTGCTACCCTATACCGACACACCCTCACAGTCATTGCCCATCTATAACACCACCTCCACCATCGAGGGGTGTTGGGCTGCAACATCGACAAAACCCGATCACATTTAGGTAGCAAATATGATCAAAGATATGATCAAAAGGGGGATGAAATCTTATATCCATTCAAACCAGTCGAATTTGACAGAAAGAAAAGTGTAAGCATGCATGGGGATCTAATTTACAAACGAAGAGCTGCTCACCTATCATTGGAGAAATTAGATACCTAAAACACTAGCTTAGCAGAATGAATCCAAAAATCAATTTCTCACCTTCAAAATTGGATGGGTATCATGCATAAATCGATCTCTTTATCGGTATCGCACGAGAGGGAGGGGATTGGAAGGTGTGGAAGGGGAACACCAATGGAGGAATGGGAGGGTTCTTGAATCACAGAGGAGGAACATCGACGCATGATTTTGAAGACTGAAGTCGGCTAGGGTTCAAATTTTGTAAGGAGGGGAGGGATAGAAGAGGGTGAGGGGTGATAGTGTCGGACATCGGTGGCAACGAACGCCGGAGGCGATAGAGGGGACGACGGACAGTAAAACTTTGTCTCTTGATGGAGTGCACGTCTGCGGCTTTGTTGGGTTTTACAAGAGAGAAACATAGAGAGGGAAGGGATAAGAGGGGTAAGCCCATATATATATATATATATATATATATATATATATATATATATATATATATATATATATATATATATATAATAGCATACATGATAATATAAAGATAAAAAAATATTAGGCATGGCAAAATAGTCTTTTTAAGGGTGGCAGGGATCAAATGCGCAATAAAAATAACAGTAGGGACGTCCGAATTAAAAAAATAAAGAGACCAAACACGCAAATTCCCCCAAACCACATGGACCATTCATGTAATTTACTCCAAACATTATTTGTTCACCCTACCATATCCCATTGAATTGTGGGTTTTCTTGACGACCGTATTTCTTTAAGTAGAAATCAATATGAATTCTACTAGCAAAAACTCATATTCAACAAATACCCATTAAGGAGAGAAGGAAATTTGTGGAATCAGACCAAGAGTACAATTTTTTTCTCATATTACAACTTCTACTACTCGTTATCATCAGGTGTTCAAATTAATTTCACCTCACGTAACTCTATTTTTTCGACTAGATAACAAACGATTTGGTTGATTTGGAGATTTTTTACAAGTAAATCTTGTTGATATTTTTTGGTCCCGCATGGCATTTTGTAATTTTTGGGAATTGCTTGCGTACGCTGGGCGTACCGAAGCGTACGTGGCCTGGACCCAAAACCCTAATATTTAGGGTTTGTGAACTATTTATACATCCTTAACTCTCAAGGCTCATTTTCATTCATCAAATGCCTCCAGCCTCATATTCTACCCTTTCAAACCCTAATCCATTTTAGAGCATCTTTGAGCTTTGAGTGCGTATTTTGGTGATCTTGAAGGAGGAAGAAGGAAGAGGAGACCATCTTAGAGGAGTGAAGCAATTTGGATCCAGAAACACATCATCATTTGACACCTCTTGGAGGTAAAATGTAACATCCCAAGTTTTGGAATATAAGTTCGGGCTGCTATGTGTAAATAAAGGAGTAGACTCGACGAGTAGGTGTCTTAACTCGTCGAGTCGGAGCGGGTGTTGGGCACGTGTTAAGTGACCCGACTCGCCGAGTCGGCGGCGGGACTCGACGAGTCAGTGCTGGGAAGAGAAAACCCTAAATTTTTGGGTTTGCACCCTATTTAAAGGATCTTATGTTCTCACCTCAGCCTCTTTGTTACCCGTTGAGAGTCAGTAAACCCTAAAATCGTGTGTGAGCCATTGGTGAGAGTTTTTGAGCTTTGGAAGGTGATTCTAGTGAAGGAAACTTGTAGATCAAGAGGCTAGCATCAAGGAATTCGTGTAGATCGAGAATCTACTTCATCTTGGGCACATTTTGGAGGTAACAAGTCGTTGCCTTGAGCTCTTCCTTTCTAGATCTATTCTTGGATGATGATTTGGGGCTATTTAGCATGTTTGGAATCCATTTCGGGTTTTGGGATTAGATCTGGGGTTGCAACTTCAGATCTAGACTTATCTTGGTCCATGGAGGCATAGAGTATCAACTCTTTAGCTTGTTTGTGAGCATTCTTGTCTTGAACCTTCTCTCTAACTTGTATTGAGCCAAAATCACCTTGCATACACGTAAAGTTGGAAACTTTACGTGTAAAACTAGCCCTAAGAGTCCAGATCTATGAGTTGGAAGCAGTGGGATGGACTGAAATCGTCTGAATGAGGATGACTTAAGTGAACTCGATGAGTCTGTTCTTGGACTCGACGAGTCGGGTCGCAAACCCTAACCCATCTGGTTATGATAAGGATCAGTGAGTTGAGTGGTGACTCGGTGAGTTGGACAGGCTAGGACTCGGGGATTTATGAACTCGACGAGTCATGGGGTGACTCGGCGAGTTGAGTCGTGATATGAGGATTTTCTGAGTTTAGGAACTCGGCGAGTCAATGGGCTGACTCGGCGAGAAGGGTCAATCAAGAAGGCTGACTTTGACCAGGACTTTGACTTTGACCAAGAGTTGACCAGTTTGACTTCCAAGGGTATTCTGGTAATTTGGGCACTTACAGTTATTGTTTCATCAAAGTGTTAGGTGGTGGAGTTCGTGGCCATGATCGGGGGATTTGATCGTACCTCTTCAGTTCGGCATTTCGAGGTGAGTTATCCTCACTCTATCAACAAGGTCTAAGGCACCAAGGTCGGCCCTTTTCGGATTGTGTACTTGTACTTGTTTGATGTGCTTATTGATCTGTTAGATCGGCGTCCTAGTAATTAGGACGGTATTATGTTAGTGACCTGGTTTAGGTCGGTGTCCTGGTATATAGGATGATGCTATGTCAGTGACCTGGTTTAGGTCGGTGTCCTGGTATATAGGATGATGCTATGTCAGTGACCTGGTTTAGGTCGGTGTCCTGGTATATAGGATGATGTTATATCAGTGACCTGGTTAGAGTCAGTATCCTGGTATATAGGATGATGCTATGTTAGTGACCGGTTAGGTCCGTATCTTGGTTAGGATGTTGCTATACTATATGATCTGCTAGATCGGTTCGTTTGTCTATGGACTGTCATGTGATTACCTGTTATATGTGCACATGGTTATTTGCTTGATGTTTGGGTTGAGGTGGTCCTGCTTTATGCTGAAGGCCAACATACCCTATGAGCGGTCCGGATAGACTGTAGGCCCGTATGGTGGTCCAGTCATACCGAAGGCTCGGGATAGATCCAGATAGATTGTAGGCCCGGTGCAGGTGGCCCAGTCATACTGTAGACTCAGAGAGTGGACTAGGTGGACTGAAGGCTCAGTGCGGGCGGACCAGTCACACTGTATACTCGAGATGATGGTTGTTCTGTATTTTTTGATATGATATGATTATGGTTATATGAGGTTGGTATTTTGGGGGTAACTCACTAAGCTTTTGGGCTTATAGTTTCAGTTTATTGTTTCAGGTTCAGCGGATGGCCGCGGGTAGGCGAAGGCGTGACCGTACACTTCCTCGATTGACGATTATGATTTTTGGGAAACTCTGATGTATAAATTATTTTGAAAACAAATGGTAATAATTAAATGGTTTCAAATGAAT